GGATAATTTGCGCACACTGCTGAATGCAGTACTGCTAGCATATTTTATGAAGCGTGGCCTCGCATTTATTCTATTTTGCTGTATTGAAAACTCAGAACTCCGAATAAAATGGCAGAAAAAAAACGTGACTCAGGAGAGGAATATTGATCCTTCAACATTCCTTGTTGGAAATTAAAATAGGCGACATGGTTAAATGAGATTATATTGGTGCTGTTAAAATGGTAGAACTTATTGGAGGAGTCCGGGATCCGGTGGGACTGAGTAATGACCTGGAGTTCCCAAGGGATTCGGAATTCTTGGGGAAATCCCTGTAAAGGGATAAGTCTGTTTGGGAAAAAATATTGCAGAATGAAATGGGTTTAGATATCCAATAGACTCTGTACAGTATTATATCATCAGTTGCTCTTGGTTTTTCTAGCGCAAAAGACATGCAAATCTGCAGTTGCAAAAACCTCCAAATCTTGAAAATATATCAAACGCACACTAGGGTGTTGAGCACCCTGGCCGCAGCCTGGCTGATTATTGTTCTAAATTCATTTCAAAGCTCAGAAAAGTTCAAAGTCCAAATCTTCAAACCTTCTTCCACTCCTTCCCTAACATTCCTGGTGGAATTGTGAAGGTGCTGTCTACAACTGATTATAGATTCAATGAGAATACAGTATGCAGAATATATATGCCTTACCCACGCTTATGTGTGAATGAGGAATGATACAGCTAAGTGCAGTTCACAAGCAGTGACTTTTTTTGGGATTTTGCAAAGAATTTATGTGCTCTTTGCTGCATCTCCTACAAGGTGGAAACTCTTGGTAGATTGTGTTCCATACTTGACTGCAAAGCCATTGTCAGATACTAGATGGGAATGCCACATGGAAAGTGTAAAAGCTCTGAGATATCAAATGATTGAGATGAGAGATGCTCTTTTTCCTGTAGCTGATGAATGCAAAGATCCTATGGTTAAATCTGAAGCTGAGTCTCTTGCAAACTTTGAGATAGGAAGCTTTGAATTCATCCTTTCTACAGTCATTTGGTATGATATCCTGTTTGCTGTTAATTTGCTGTAGCTGATGAATGCAAAGATCCTATGGTTAAATCTGAAGCTGAGTCTCTTGCAAACTTTGAGATAGGAAGCTTTGAATTCATCCTTTCTACAGTCATTTGGTATGATATCCTGTTTGCTGTAAATACTGTGAGCAAATCACTACAATCTGCTGACATGCAATTGGATGTGGCAATTGATCAAATTAAAGGACTTTCCAAATTTTTGACCAAGTACAGAGACACAGGTTTCAATTCTTCAATGAATACTGCGATAGAAATTGCAAGGGCAATGGATGTGGAGGGCATTTTTAAACTAAAGAGAAAAAAATCAGGAAGAAGGTATTCGACTATGAAAGTTCAGAGGAACTGAAATTATCTGCTGAGGAGGCTTTCAGGACAGGCTATTTTTTGTGCATCATAGACCAAGCAATCACTTCAATGAAAACCAGGTTTGAACAACTTGAACACTATGAAAAGGCTTTTTATACAACTTGAACACCCTGCAAAAATTACCTCATGATGACCTCTTGATGCATTGTATGCAGCTGGATTCAGCATCGTGTTCAGAGAGCAACCATGATCTGGATGGAGCAAATCTTTGTCAGGAGCTCAAGGTTTTTAGGGAGATACTACCAGAAAATGTAAAAACTGCCATACATTGTCTCCAGTACCTTTGGAACTTTAGGGATTCATTTCCCAACATTTCAATTGCATACAGAATATTGCTAACCATTCCTGTTACAGTTGCTAGTGCAGAAAGAAATTTTTCAAAACTTAAATTGATTAAAACTTATTTGAGGTCCACTATGTCACAAGATAGGCTTTGCAGTCTAGCTATACTGTCCATAGAAAAAGACATTGCCTCCACTTTTGACTACAAAGATCTTATGAGTGAATTTTCAGCAAGGAAGGCCAGAAAAGTGGACTTCAGCCAATAAAAGCTGCATGTCAACTTCTTCAAGAACCTGACAATACAGTATTTGTTTGGAGCGTTATACAAGAGAGTAATTTCTGTTTTTACTTGATAAATGCATGAGCAATCAGCAGATGGGATGCCCTGCCCAAACAGGGAAAATATTCCTTTCCTGAACTAAAAATTGAGCAAAGGTGATGGTAGGGGGTGATTAGTGAGAATTTGCCAGGGGCCCCGCATTCAAAGTTGGCCCCAGGCCCCGCAAACTCTAAGGCCGCCTCTGTCTGGGGTTGTTTCAATCCTAGTCTTTTTCATCTGGATTGCTCATCAGATGTATTTGAAAGTGAGTTGTTTCCAAGCATTTCTTGAGCATAAAAATAAGAAATAAAATTTATTTGCAAGACAGGGAAAGGGGAGTAAATTAAAAGGTGCTGTCTTGCTTTCTCCGTTTTTTCTAGAAACAAGAGGAAAATGAAAAGGTTGCTGAGGCAGAGTTGCCTCCAATTAATTTTGATGAAGTTGACAAGGACGTAAATGCTTTCATTTGCAATTTTGAGAGTATGAGCAGCACCTCATTCGGAGAGGGTAACTATTTTTGAAAGACAGAATTTGAAAGAAATTGAAAACTGATGCTATTTCTTTTTGGTTTTTTATCTGTTGCAGTGGATTTTCATTCAATGAGCTGTGAGGTGGCTGGGCCTCCAAACAGCTGTGAATCCTTCAACAGTCACGCCTTCTGAAGGAGAAAGGGAGGAAGTCCAAATTGCTCATGCGTTTTTGGTCAGATGACGTTTTTACCGGAGTGTTGGATCTGTGTCTTTTGGTCTTGTCCCGTTTGTCTCGTTTTTCGGATGTTGATGGTTGAGTTCCAAGGAAGGTTAACGCCACTGCATTTTGTTCCTCTCCGGTCCCTTCCAGGCGCAGGAATGTTTCAATCCATCTGTAACAATTCGCTGGCTTCTCTGGCCAGGTTGTCAACTCTGTTTGATAGTCCGGTGGATTCAAACTTAGTTCATTTTTCACGGAAATGTAGTGTCCTCCCTTTTTGAGGTTCATTTTGATTGTTGGCCAAAGACGGACATGTACCTGGGGCATGTTTGAACGTAGATTATGGAGCTGAGTGGTTATATCAATGACTTTCTCCATGTAATTAGCCATTT